AATATTATTCTTCTACTTGAAAGAAAACTTTTATCTGGGAGCATGTTACAGATGGCAAACATAATAATTTTCACTGGATAGCGTTCTATTTACCGCATGATTTTCAATGTTCTCTACAAGTTAAGAATAAAAAAATTATGAAATAGTTACAGATAAATAAATAGATGTAAAATTAAAGCCAACCACCCACCACTCTCCGGAAATTCCTTGAAACTATTTTCAGATTGTAATAAATGATTTTAAAAATTGACATATTTTCGTTATACATTTACTTATAGATAGTTAAAATTATTTTTATTTAACGAAAGACAGTACTATCTTTGTGTTTTTATGAATAATTGTTTAACTTTATATATAAAAGGTAAACTACAGAAGAACAAAATTATTATTATTATTATTATTATTATTGTTTGAAAGAATTTATTTGAAATAATTAAAATATTTGACTTCTTTAAAAACTAATAACGTATTTTCACAAATTTTAAACTTTTTGGGATTCTACGCGCGAATAATTATTATTCAGTTCTATGAATTTAAAATTTTTCTGTATAATAACTAATAAGACCCTATAATGTGATGCAATGTGTAATTATCAGTGGCGCACACAAGGGGGGTGTCCTAAGAGTCCGGACCCCCCCCTAAGCCCTTGAATTTTTCTCGATTGATTACAATTTTAAGTATATAATACGTAAAATTTAATTAAATATTTGTTTTTAATGTGATCAATTTTATTAATTAATGCTAATTATTTATTCAATAATTAGTTTTTTACTGTGTTTTGTTCCCCCAAACCGACAAAATCAAAAGGAGCATGATACAAGAATGGTGGACTTTCGACCCTGGACCCCCTTGGAAATTTTTTTTGTGCGCTACTGGTAATTATATAATATAGAATGATTTATAACATATGTATATATACACTGCTGGACAATTGCTAAGGACGGATAACACTATCATCCATAGCAACCACAAAATGAAAGGAAGCAAAATGTGGAAAATTAGAATAAGTGCGGGATATTAGTAAGAAGAAGTATGAGTATGCAAATTTTTTTTCCACGTCTGTTCATCACGTGATAGCGTTCATAAGAGCTTTAAAGGTTTTGACGCGTGTGGACAGTTGTTGTTTCAAGTCAAAGTTTTACAGGAAAGATTTAATAGACGAACTTAAAATTTTTGGCATGTCTTCCCGACATCACATAGATGATTTTATGAGTGGCCGAATTATTGGAAAGATCGAAGAAGGGCGAAAAATAACAGATGTTGCCAGGGAGTTCGACATCGCTCACAGCGTTGTTTCACGCCTGTGGAAGTCATTTAAAACTACTGGAATATGTAGTAGACGGCACGGGGGAGGTCGTGTTAGAGGTACGACGCATGCAGAAGACAGATATATCGTCCTATCAGCAAAAAGAAACAGGCTCACCACAGCTCAGCAGGTGGCAAATCAGTTTCTTGCTGCCTCAGGAAAGCAGATCTCCCGAAAAACTGTTGCCAGACGTTTGAGGGGGAGGAGGACTATATACGCACGCAGACCTGTTGTGTGTGTCCCATTGACCAGACAGCACCGTACTGCCCGTTTGCAATGGTGTCGTGAGCATCACAATTGGACTGAACAGGACTGGGCATGCGTACTATTCTCAGATGAGAGTAGGTTCAGTCTGTCATCGGATTGTAGACGCCAACTGATCCGGCGCGAGAGTGGTACTGCTTATCGTCCAGAAAATATCCAGGAAAAGGACCGATATCCGACATGCAGTATCATGGTGTGGGCCGGCATCATGATCAATGGCCGCACGCGTCTACATGTGGTTGCGAATGGGACTATGACGGGCCAACGATACATTGATGAAGTTCTATTTCCTCATGTTCGTCTTTTTCCGTGGTGCTGTCGGTGATAAATTTGTTTTTATGGACGACAACGCAACATGTCATCGAACACTCGCTGTTCAGTATTGTCTAGACAGCGAGGGTATTCAACGTCTCGTATGGCCAGCGCGTTCTCCAGATCTAAACCCCATTGAAAATGTGCGGGAGGCTTTGGGGAGGCAAGTTGCTGTTCGAAACTATCCTCCGACAAACAAGAACACCCTCATCCGTGCACTCACAGAGGAATGGGATAAATTGCCTCAACAGCTGCTGTATAATGTTGCGCAAAGTATGGTACGACGTGTGGAATGTTGCATCACACTCCACGGTGAACATATCCCGTACTGATACCTTTCTTTAAGGTGCCTGCTGACTTTTAGATGCATTGTTCCATTTCTCCGTACGCAGACCAAATGAACATTTTTTTTTCTTTCAGATGTTTCACAGCTTTTGTACTTTCCAGAACAATAAATATTCTTTATTCTAATGTCTGAACAGCGTGGCAACTATATTTTATCCTACTAGGCCTCATGTCTCGCTTAATGTTATGCTACATAGCAATTTGTGATCCGTCCTTAGCAATTGTCCAGCAGTGTATATAGAGAGAGAGAATTCGCGTAAAATAATATAAACTACTTAATTAGTATAACGAATAAAGCCTTAATGCCACTAAGTTGCGCATATATTAATAATCAACTACTAAATAACCTAATGATAGAAATTATTAACTAACACAAAATTACTAACATTACGTTAATTATTATTAGAAACTGCAATTGGACATCACCCAGAACGATTGCATGGCTTCATTCTTGATCATAACGTCAAGATAACCGCCAAAATATAGGAAACTAAATGGGAGCCAGTTCTTTTTTTACTCCCCTGCCCCTCCTTTCTGAGTGCAATGGATTGTGAATTAGCGTTGTCATTAGATTTGCTATCTCTCAAAGTTATAATCATTAAAGCTCTACTTAAATTGCTCAGAATTTGAAACTAAGACAATTATAATGAAAAATAAATGTTTTCATTCCGCCTCAAAATCACTTAAAAAAATTTATTAATTACAGCATGCGTATTACATACATGCGTCGAAATTCCTTTAGGTTGGAGAAATAAGACACTTTGAAGCTCTTGTTTTTGAAGTTACCATTTTTTTTAAGTAAATGTCTTACTCAGATCTCCGCTATGCCCTCACAGTGGCGTTGTGTAAAAGTTTGGAGAGTGGGATGTCAGTTCACCAATTGCCCTTGTGTAACTTCTAAGTGCGATGCTAATAATCAATCAATTTTCACAAGAATAAACTCATTAGGGTTTTCAAGCAGGATAACAACTGTATGTTTCACTAGAATGAGTTCATTACTACTCTATTTACTCTCCCAATATATAAATGAATCCTTTAAAAATACTTTTTGTGTCTATAAAATCATAATGAAGGGATCCGTGAGTGCTTATATTAACGTCGTATTATAAAGCAACGCGGATCTCGAAATTTTGTTTCTCGATCAAATGACGAGGGCGACACTTGAGCTGACACCCCCTTTCCAAACTAACTCTCCTCGTCAAAGGGAGGATTTTAAGCCTTCGCAGATTTTAAGTGTATCAGCCCCTCTACAAAAACGGATCTTCAGCGGTACTAGAGCTGGAACTCATGATACATCAGCCAGGGCCTCGTGACCGTAGCCATTAGGCTACGCCGGCTTAGAGATTGTAATGAAACCTGCTCGCATAACAGTAACTAAATGTTAAGAAACATAACATCACTGTGACATTTGAGATAAATAACGGTAAAGTGATATTGATTAATTGAAACACTTAGTTTATTTACGTCAAAGCTATTATTCGCAGATTATACATTGAAGTTATAAAAGTTATTAAAAGATTATTAGAGTTCAAATGATGCGGTCTGTGTGGGAGAGGAGTTCTTTTCGGAGTCTGCTCAGTTCGGAGGTTCAAGTCCTTTCTGGTTCCCCCTATTTCTTCTCTACCCTCGGGGATCAGGCCTTTTTAGCATCTCGTTACATCCTACTAGTGGCGAGAAAAGGGTCCCTAGTAATGTCAAAAAGTTGCGGGGGAGATCCAAGACGGAACCACGCAACAATTTTAAAGTGCAGGTGCAAATGCACGTATGGTGATCCACTAAGATGCCGATTCACAGATGGTGGCGGAAAATTTACAGTTACATCACAGCTCTTGGTTCCCACACTGAGATTCGTCACAATCACAACCACAACTCACCTTAATTATATCTCTCATACAAAAAAAATAAAATAAGAGTGGCATTCCAGTGGTCAAGGTCAAGGTCATGGACTTGTGGCTGGCGTGTCATGAGTTCGAGCCTAGTGCCACTTAAGACCCATCGTGTAGAAGGGGCTACTGCACCATAAATCTGTCGAGACTCAAACGTCCTCCCGTTGAAATAGGAGTTAGAAAAGGAGGTGGGGTGCCAATTCAGGTGCCTTCCTAGTCACCTGGCCAAGGTTCAAAATTACTTCATTTACCAATATCTCTCGTGCAGCTGAACAGTGTAACGTTATTTTGATTCTGACTCCCCCACTCTCTACGTGGCCGCGGTAGCCGAGTGGTATAGGTATCGGATCGTGGCTTGCCTTGTCACGAGTTCGAGCCCAGTACCCCTAAAGACCCGCCGTGTAGGGCAGCGATGCACGTTAAATCTGTCGAGAGCTGAAACGTCCTCGCGTTGGTGTGGTGTGGTAGGTAGGGGAAGGGGGTGCCAACTCAGGTGTCGTCCACGTCACTTGACCATGGTTCAAAATTACGTGGTCCGTCTCCAGAAGCCCTCGTGTAGCTAAACAGTGCGACGTTAATATTCAATCACTCACTTACCCCCCCCCCTCTCCACAAAAGAAACAAGTAATATAAAACTACTTAGGTCAACAAAGAAAAATTTTATTTTTGTTACTTTTTATGAAATAGCTACAATTAATGTAAATATGTATATACATAGGACAGAAGCACACTATTAAATGAAAAAATAGAAAAAGCGATTTTCCTTTCTATATAGGGTGTTGGACTATTTTTTGTTTTTGTTTTTTACCATTTATTTTCATTCATTAAAGCTAATTATTCTAATAAGATAAGTAGTGAAACAGAAATCACATTCTCAGAAATTAGGTCATCCCAGGTGGGATTCGATCCCACCTCTTTTGGATTAGAAGTCCAACGCACTAGCCATTGCCCCACAGGGACACAAGAACGATTTTCCTTTTTATATATGCTGTTGGACTATTAAATTTGTTTGTTACTATTTATTAATTAATTAAATTTTATGAAGGAATTAATACTTGAAAAAACTGTATCAACATCAAGTTTCATCCACTACAAGTAGGGAATGTGAACTTGAATGGATGAATAGAAAGTACTTTATTAACGATTGGAAATTTTAACAAGACATACAGTCGAACCTCTATACTGCGAATTTTTCTATATAGCGAACTTTTTCCAGGAGAACATTTCACGATTTTCTTCATAAAATAACCTCTTTATAGCGAAGTGCATTTTCTACATAACGAACTTTTTCTTTTGTGATTCAATTTTTGTTATCTTTTTTTTTTAAAAGTATTTCTGAAAAAATTTCAAGTTATCCTCTCTTCAACACCTTTTATGGGGGCCATACATCTTGAACTGGTTTTATTAGATCCTAACTCACCGAGAGCAATAGAGTTCTAGACGTTTCATCCAAGAAGTTCAACATTTACCCCCTCCCCCATTGCCCAGTTCACTAGAAAAATCTTCGATATCTTCTTTTACCCTCAGTGGAGTTGTCCCGCGTCCCCGTGTTCTAACTATAAATTAATGACTGGTTAATATTGTATGCTTTAAATTATAAAATGCTCTTAAAATTCATTAATTTTGGTATAAAAATATTTTCTTAATATTGAAAATGCAGTGAATTCTTCGACATTCCTTTTTCTTGTTTTGATTGCAGTTTTTCTTTTTTTCCTTTCTTTCTTGATGGGTAAGATATCTGAAATAAACATATTTTTTAAAAAAGGTGTGTGACGAATCTATACGGAACTTTATCACTAACCTTCTGAGCCGACCTTTTTAGGGAAATTTAATTCCCTACCTATTTCCAATCAACTCCAAAAAGCGGACAGGATTCCTTGTTATGCAGATTAGATTCAGTATTTAAGTCAAACGAAATAGTAACGTTAGGGCAGTAGGAGATAGATATTGAAACATAAAGTTATAGTGAATTTGAATTGAAGTTTTATTGTTGGAGATAATTTAATTTCATGAAGAATTGAGAATCCGAGTGGTAAATATAGAATTGTATTTAAAGTCTCATTAAAGTTTTAAGAGTGAGATTAAAGATAAATGTTCAATAAGAACATTATTAAATATAATTCTGGAATCTCTTATCGTGGTAATTTCTGCGTGATCGTTATTTAATAAATTAATTAATTGGATCATTAATTAATTAAGTTAATTTAAAGGATATTACCTTTAAAACCTCATAATATTAGAAGTAATTGTTAATAAGTCTTTGATTCTATTTGAGAAAGATAACCAAATAAAGAAAGTTATTTATAAAAATGGCTACTGGTTCTTCCTTGACTCATAATTATTCTCGTTCTCAAAGTGAGGTCCTAAGGGACCTTCACAGGTGTGAATAATTGCTTTTTTAAAAATATAGTGTTCTTGAATTTGTTTTATGTGGTTTATAAAGAATTTTAAAAGATGAGCCTCTATATAACAAATTTTCCATTTAACGAAATTTTTTCCGGGATTTAGGGACTTCGTTATATAGAGGTCTGACTGTATATATATATATATTTAGGAAGAGAGTGAACTAATATAGGAATTGAAAAAAAGGGTCTACTAAATAGAAATCATTTTCTCTTAATAAGAAACATCCTTGTTACTGTACTTTCATATTTATCGTCAGACCATTTTTCAAAGAAAATTCTATCATAAAGCAGTTGCCCCTAGAGTATCAAAAACCGTTAAATCACGATCGATAAATAACCGATAAATAACCGATAAATCAGAGTTATTTTTCACTGCGAAACAATGAGTCAGTACACCTTTCAAGATCTTTATAAATACTGTCTCATCTAAATCCGCTGTGAGCGTCTGCAAAGCGCACAGGTTTCGAAAAGAAAAGGGCAGGGGGAGGATGTGTCATTTATCTGATCGAAAATGAATGATGGAGTGGAACATTTGAGATGGTATCTTCAAATCAGGAGATATGTCGGTTAGTTCTCCGGTGTCTTTGAGGAAGTCTGATGTAAAATAAATAGAAAGAGAGAAGTTTGTTTTAGATTGTGTCACTTTGGTATTTTTATTTTTATTCTTTGTTTTTTATCTTTGCGTTGTTCTTTCGTATTGATCTTTTAGAAAGATTTCATTTAATGTTTAAGGAAAAATGAGAGATGAGAAAAAAAAGTAATACAAACATAATAGTTGCAATTGAAAAATTATCGAAACTAGATAATATTCTAAATTTCAATCGACGTATTTCGACTGCAAACTGCAGTGTTTGGCGGTTATGCCCTTTGTAAAATTCACAGCGTCAATTCCTCACCTTGATTGCATTGAAGAACGCCGTTATATATCGAAATTAGAAAATGTTCATTTTATCACTTGTTTAAAAACGAGTGTGACCTCCATGGAAGAAATGAAGCAAATAAAAGTTAATCATTGAAAAAAATATGACAAAATTTCACAAAAGAGTGAAATTAGTACATCAGAGGTCTTCAAGTTTTTTGACTTACGGAACCCTTAGAACTATAAGATGTTTTGGGAGAACCCCATTCCATACATAAAAAAAGTGTGTGCTTATGACCACACGATATAAGTGATAACTTCAAATTTTGTAACATTATTTCAGGGATTAGTTAGTGAAATTATGACAGGCTCATCGCAATTTCCACTAAAACTCATTTTGGGTTTCTTTGGGGCATGAGTGGTTATTCTTTCCAAACAACTCAAGAAGTGAAATATGCAAATTAAGAATCTTATAAACAGTAGACGTTTTGTGTACGCGGGGGTGGCTATGGGAAGTGAATATACGAGGTCTATGATTACAAGTGTTAAAACTTAAGTGAGAGGAAATCCCGCATCCAAGATTTAATCTATCCGTGCCAGTGCGTTCAAGTTAAAGGTGGATACCATTCAACACGAGTTAAAGTGACGTCAGTTAGGATTCAAGCGAATTGCTGCTTACCCAAGATAGAGCGGTAAGAACATCTAATTAAACTACTAAGAACTGTGTATTTATTGAGATTAGGATTAGTCGATAAAGTCAGGCATCGTGGTCAGTGACGCGATTATTTGGCAATACGTATTGTATGTCTCTTCACTTCAGATTCACTTGGTTTGAATATTAATACTATAACTGTATATTGTTTAAGTTAGAGATCTTAATAAAGAGATATTAATATTATGGCAACGTCTTCTTCATTCCCTCCCACATCTCTAGGTCACGAGGATAATGTAGAAGTAGGGCAGACCCCTCGGGCACCTGTCTTACAAAATAAAAAACAAAGGGATATTAGTAGTGTCATATAAAATTATTTATTCATATTTCTGTACTCATAAAGTAATATTTTTTGCTAAATATATAATCATTTTTGTGAATTAATTTATTCTTAGAAGGAAACAATTGGTTTGTGGAAGCTGAAATACGTTATAAGTACTTTAGATTCAAAATTACTTAAATACCTAAAAAAAAATACTCCGTCAAGCGTTGCTCCGTACTTTATTGTGCTTTCATTTGGATCATTTGACATAATTAAATTAAATTTTGATTTTAAAAAAATATATTAAAGGCTTTGATTTTTCTTTTGAAAAATCTACATTAAAATCCCCACTTAAAATAATAAGCAATTTGTTCAGAAGAGTTTATCCGGCTTCACAGTGTAAATTTTTAGGAATGAATTCAATAATTTTCTCTACACTTTTTGATTTGGTGAAATATAAATAGTAACCATTAGAATTATATTGTCTTTTTTTGCTCTACATTTCGCTGCACACATTTCTCCGATACATGACTCATTAAACCCAAATGATTCACAATAGTATTTGATGCTGCATCCATTTCTGAAGTAACATAAGTTGTCGTATCTCCCTTATTTTTATGTATAGCAACTCCACCAGCTCTGTGATTGTCTTTGGAATTTAGCAATACAATGAAAATTTGGCACATCTGTTTTCTTCCTTATTTATCCAAGTTTTGGTTAAAAGTAATATAGTTACATATTGCATAACACTGTCATCGAGATACAAAGCATGTGCACGTCAACTTTGACAATTCAAAGAATATATTGATATTCCCTTTTTTGTGGAAGCGAAGTTTGTGAAGATATCTGTGATTGTCTTAAGTATGTTTTGTGTTAATCTTTTAAATTCAATTTGTAGATCTCTGAGAGATGTAGATTTTCTTAGGCCATGGAATAATTTTGGATCGGAGTTTTCCGTAACAATGTAAAGTTCTTCAAGACTTGTTGCTCTTGATAACGCAACATATACCCAATTGTTGAGAATCTGTTTCCTCATACTTATAATAAGTCTTGAAGGATTTTACATTATTACGGAAAATTTCGATTTAGTGTGACGAGCGTTACAAACCCGAGCGTGACAATGCTTGGCTTCTTAAAACGCTTCATTCAAGTTCACTCTCCAGCAAAACGTGCCTAAAGAAGTTATCACTTCAAAATATATATCTTAAACTAATATTAAAATAGATCATGATATAGGTACTTTATATAAAGTCTACTAAAAAGTATTGTATTTGTTATTTAAAATTCTAATAAAATATTTTAGTTTAATATTCACACATGCTGTAATAATATTAATTTGTGATTTAAGTGTCACATACTTAAGGATGATATTTAGTAAATGGAAAATATATTTGCTTTTTTTATACAAAATATTTAAGTCTAGGTCAGGGGTCAACTTTATAGATCAACGTACCATTTTTTCTATAGAAGTGTTTAATGAGGTATAGACGTGCCGTCAAACTAAAAACTCTTTATTTACTACGAAAAATTACCTTTTTCACTGTAGAGTTGTATATGTTTTAGTGTTATACATGGAATTCAAATTAAAGTAACTTTAGGGTGACTTCTGTTATTGCAGATTGGATGACAAATAACTTATATTAGGATTGTAAGATGTTGCTTTTAGTAGAATGCTTGCTGAAAGAAGTCGTCTGCCAAACGGTTTCTAAGCAATTATTTTTG